TCCCAGGACATTAATATGCTACATGTATATGTCTACAGCAAAGCACGACACTTATCCATGACCAGAGTCATGGATACCATAAATTTCATAGGAGAAGTTCCTCATGGCTCTCCTGCCTCCTCCACTGAACTGTGAATCTGAATGAATACCCAGGCTTGTAGCAAAATGCAAAGTGTAAAATTGGTGTCCTTCTCTTTCTTGTTCCCATTCAGTACCTGAAGAGTCCTAAATGTTTGGATGGTTTCAATCTGGATCATAACTGTGTTTATAGAACTATGAAAAGTATTTATTTCAAAAGAAATATACCTATATACGTTGAAAAGATATCTATGTAGAAGAATGTTGAAATGTTAAGTGTTGAATGTTAACATTAATAGAGAACAAACACAGGAGTTTTGTTTTAATTTAGGAATCAATTCCTAAATTTAGGAATTTAGGTCAGTGTTTGTTTTAATTTAGGAATGAGCAAAATAATTTTAAGCTGGGCTTAAACTGGAAATAAGTATTTGTGATCTATTTAGAGAGAGAAATACATCCTTTTTTGAAGTGGCAGAGCATTAATTTAGATGTAAAGAAACCCTGTTCTCTTCCTTTAACTTACTAGTACATATTCTATTTACACAGTAGGCAAGGGCCCTGAAGCTGTAGTTGAGAGGATGATCCCTGGAGAGCACTTTTTGAGTCCAGGTCAACCACCTTTCTTCCCAGCAGACCTCCTTCCCAGCAGTCCCCACTCCTCCATCACTCCTGCCAGGAGAAGATGCCCAGTGTGCTGCAGCACTAAGGGGAGGCTGGCGGCGGCCAGGGTCTGCTCTCGTGCCCCTCAGCACACACCCTGCAGGCTGGAGGGCAACTAGCTCCACTGCACTTGAGAGCCAGATCTCATTCCATGGCCACATCTCAGCTAAATGAGTGTTTCAGAGCTTCAGATCTTCTCAGTGGTTTCTGTTCAGCTGAGCCCTGTGGCAAGCTGACACAAACTAAGCAGAGAGAGGACTGCTGAAGGACAATTGAGCACATGGACATTTGCAACACTTCTGAATCAATTTTATTTTACAGCTAAAGTAATGCAAATAGATTTAAATCCATGCTTCTAATTAAAACAACAGTTTCCTGTGCCTCCCAACTGCAGTCAGAATCTGAGTTCTATTCTGTGATGAAACATCAACATCTCTTTCACAATTTACTGCAACTTTCCTAGATCTTGCCAGCTCTGCTGAACCATTAGATAGGATGTAAATGCCCTTCTTAGGGTACTCTGAAGAAAGACAAAAATACATCAAATTATGTCACTTTGGAAGTTAAATATTCCTCCAAATTAGTTTTCCTTTTTTCTGTGCATTTTGCAGGGCATGATTTTTTATTGCATTGTATTCATTTTTACCGTAAAAAATCTTACAGATTATCTCTATGTAGTGTGATGTAATGAACAAATTTAGGTTTTTTATGTACTCCTGCTTCTGTGCAAACATTTTACACATGAAGACTGTTGTTAATATTGGTCTCAGTCCTCAGGTAAAGCAAGATGCTAACACAATACAAACCATGCTGCTTTATGTTGTAAATATTTGAAGACCAGGGGAATTTATTTGTCAGTTTGAGATCAAGCATAGGTAAATGGGGAAGTTAGACAATGTGCCCATGGAAGAAAATCATCCTCTTGGATAGTGCATGATAAGACTCTCAGGCACATGGTGTGATTCTTGTGATTGTCCTGGGCAGGGCCAGGAGTTGGATTTGATGATCCTAATGGGTCCCTTCCAACTCAGCATATTCCATGATTCTATGATCAGTGGGCAGAGAAGTCCTCTTACCATCCTACCACTTTGTTTCTGCAATTGTTTTAGAGCAATGTAAGATGATCTATGAATGTCTCAAACTCTGCAGGAAGAAGATGGTCTTTCTACCAACTGTAGGGTAATAAAATTATACAACCTAAATATCTGAAAATTTAGGAAAATTGGAGCTTCCAGACAATTAGTCCGTCTTTAAATGTTACATTGAAGGCCTATTCTCAGAAGTTACACAATTTTCAGCCTCTTTACAGTAATTGATGTCAAGGAATTTAATCCTTTTTTATGATGCAATCCTATTCTCATTGTTGTCAGAGCAGATGGAGGCAGCTGTGCAGATGCTCTTCTTAAACCCAATAGATGCCTGGAGAGTCACCTCAGCTTGTGTTTGCAGGTGAACCCAAAAGACTCTGTTTGATGCTGGTCCACCCTTGCATGTGATGAAAAAGTTCTTAAATTCACTTTCCTGCATGAAATAAATGTTGAGTGAAGACACCTTTCTGTCCTGGGTTCCACACAGAACTGCTTCAGTCTTTCTTTTTCAGTCCTGCTACTGCAAAGCTTACCCAATTGGCTTTCACTGTCCTAATGCTCTTATTTGACCCCACCAAACTTCCTAGAAGGTTTAAACTATAGTACACCATGAAAAGACTTGTGAATTGGGATTTGATTTTGCAATAGCTGTGCTCAGAGCTCTTTGAGGACAAAGTGTCTCCACAGCTCTGAAAAATATCCTCTAGAAGACATAAACCAAGCCAAAGATGATGTTACAAAAAGGTATCAAAGAAGAAAACAATGAAAAATTATTGCTAAGCAGGAAGAACTATATAGATGTAAAAAGACTAGGAAGTTGGTCTCAGATCTTGTAAGCTTCTCCTTAACAACAGAGCACATTAATTTTTGGACTTTTTGCATGACTAGTTCTTAGTTTCCTTAGGGCAGAAACAGAAAGATTGAGCAGAAGGGTGTAAAACCTAACTGAAAGCACTATTCAGAAAAGAAAGATTACAGGAATGAGGATAAATAGAGCAGTGCCATGCGTAATGACTGGCACATGAATGAGTTCATTGGAAATGTAAACATGGAAAGGGACTGGCAGAGAGGGCGTGAGATGAGCAACTCAGAGCGATGAATAACTGCGGAAGTGGTTAAGACTTCCTGGTCACCAAAGAGAAAAACAGTGACGGAAAAAGCTTGGGCTAAAAGGAAGGAATAGGAGAAGCACTCCCCTTCGTGTGCTCAGCTGTGCCTGCCTCTCTGTGTGTGGCTCCACATCTTGGTGCTTGTTGCTTCAGTGCTCTAATGCTGATCAATAACTGACCAATAATCACATGGTTTTGTGTTGATTATTGCTACCCTCTGGTTCCTGTTACTGCCTATGAAAAAACCATAAAAATTAGTACTCCTGTTGAGCTCTTGATGACTGAGGCAAACTTTGAAACCCAGACAATCACAGCTCTTAGATATTTTTAATCATAACTGCTGAGGCAACTCAAGTCTAGTACAAATGTGCAAGCTAATTTTACAGGATTTTGTGTTCTTTCAGTAACTACATTGATTCTTGGAGATGGATATATGTAGCTGACTTTGATCTGGAAGGGGTTTTTTCCTATGATATTGTTTTTCTGCTATGTCACAAATTTCATTGGCAAGTATAATTGACCAAAATTCTCAACACCTTTTGTCATGGAGACCTTGACAGACTGCTGTTACATCACTGCCTGCAAATGAGCTCAGCAGTCCTTTCTAAGTTCATTTTATTTCCAAGGATGGCGCATCTACCACCTCTCTCTACAACATTATACTTAAGTGAATTGACATAGTTCCCATTTAGTACCACAGGATAAAGCCAGGATAAATATGGCCCAATCGAGAAAGGTCCTCAAAATTTGAAGGCATCTCTTTGCAGAGTAAAGCCAAGTCCTGTATTTGTTTATTTGCCTGCTGTTGACATAGCATGGCCCTTCTTTGGCAAAAAATCTTGGAGATACTAAGTGCTTTTGCAGTGGTGTGTTCAGAATGCCTCAACATCTACAATACATCTGAAAAGACCTTTTTTCTGGGTTCTTTCCAACACCAATTTACTACTCAGAGACAAATCAGAAGCAAAGCAGTGGATGGGTAAGCTATGACTTTTAAAGGTTGCTTGCACCAGACAGTGTGAGAGCAGGAGCTTGCCAAACCTTACTTCTGGAAGAAATCCACTGGACTTCATAAAATATGTGATTAAGGTGTTACCTGAAAAATTACTTAAGAACAATGTTTCTAAATGGTAAGCTGGGCTGTAGCCCAAGGTCATTCTCAGACTACAACGGCTCTGTCCTCTGGAAGGCAACAAGATGAGCAAAGGCTTGCTGTGGGAGATTAACCTCCACAGAAACGGGGATGCATGTATTTCACCCTTTCCAGACTTCCTTCATACCTTGCACTGACACAGGTCACGCAGGATTTATGAGAGGAAGGTACATGTCAGTAATAATAAAGTTGCTCTTGAGTTTTTGTGGAAGACCCCAATCTGCAGAGCAGGCATCCTTTACCTCTACCTCAAGTTGTCTTAAAATGCTGGCTGGTGAAACTTGAGTCTGAGCAGATTAGACCATACCAAAATGATAACTATGAAACTGGAGTGCACTGGTTTCCTGTAAAAGCTCACTGTATGCAACCATTATTTCTGCTCCTTTCTTCACTGAATTCTTTCTAAGGAAAGAACAGTCAAACAACAGTTTTTTATAAGATTCTGGGGATAATATATTTTCCAAGCAGAACTTCAAACTCCCTCCCACTTTGGACACTGGATGAGTGTGGTGTTGCCTGCAGCACATCGTTTGACATCGTTTGACAGTGAGCAAGACTGAACAGAATACTAAATTTGGAAAAAAACATAGTACCCATAGAAATAAACTCTATCTTTTCAGCCATATTCTGAAATAAAAAACATTGGAATGTTGTAGAACAGCCTTACCCTCATGTAATTAAAATTTACTGATATTGAGAGCTACTAGTTATTGTGCCAGCTCCTTGAGAGATTCCGTGTCTAAGCTCTCAGCCAGGGGTCCGGGCATGGCTCAGGGATGCATTGCACTTTGAGATGAGTATCAGCCTCACTCACAGAGAAATAATTCCCTAATGGGATTCCAGCTTTAAAATAACAGCACTTTAATGGAGACAGCAAAATAAAAGTATACTTTAAAAAAAACAAACATTACCTCTCAGAGTGGTAGTTTTATTTGTATGCATTCAACAGCAGGCAGTTTTTTTCACAGGAATATAAGCATAACAATGGTGAAATATCCGTATCAGATCCGACTAGTATTCCACTTCAAAGGATTCAAAAGCAGATGTAAGAAACGTCACAGGAGGCAATGGCAGGACAACCTGCTCCAGAAGAAAGTTTCTGCTTAATCCCCACCGATGTAATGCTTGGCCGATTTAATAAAATGTGTAGACTTATACCCATTAGAAAAGTAATATATACATATATATATATAAAAATCTGTATTTCTTATAGATTTCTGTACAGTAATATTTACAATATATTGCAAACATTTCAGTCTTATCTCCATATTCTAGACCATAAAGCCCAGACTTTGTACTTTTCTCCTGTTATGCCACAGCTGCGGACATTGCCCCTTGTCACAGCACTGGAGAACCATGAAACACTCGGGTGTAAACAGCAATTTGTTCTGTACACTTGCATCCCATTTGACTGTTTTGTTTACATAGTTCTAGTCAAACAAAACAATTCCATTTATGACTAGCCTTTGTCATCAGCACCGTTTTAGGCTCCCTAGACTATTGGAAAACCAGCTCCATTGCTAAAACTTCTGTTCAAACTGCAACAGCCCACTTTTCCACAGTTTAACACCAAAGTTGGAAAATTCCACCCATCCCAAATAGTAAAAAAAAACCAAAATAAACCAAAAAATGTTTTTTGTTTTGGTTTTTTTTTTTTTTTTTGAGAAAAAGATAGGCAGTGGCTAACATTAGCAAGTTCTTCTTGTTTTGAAGGATATGACTGAAAGACCCAGCAGAAGAAACAAGAACCCTTTACATGTAACAGTAACAGGAGCGGAATGAAAACCTGAGCTCTCATCATTTGGAAAAAACACTGAATTAGCCATTACCAAAACCTATGGGGAATGAAGATTGTCATCTACTTTTGTTCTGACATACAGGAAATGTAAATTATTAGCTTCCCCACAAGGCATTATTAAATAAAGGGAATCTACAGCTTAACAGGCAAAGATCTTAGACACATCCACATCAACTCTGAAATAAATGGGAGTGCTTGGGATTCCTAAAGAGTTTGAACAAAGCCAAAGAAATTTTGCCACATCAGTGTGGAAAGTCACCTGAATCCTACTGAACCATCCACAGGGACAAAAAGAGGGACTAAAAAAGTATTCAGAATGGGTCCAGTTGTGATTTCACTAACCTCTGCCATAAAACCCTCATCAATTTTCAGAAAGGCTGATGTTCAGTAAATTTTCAAGCAAATGAAACATATTCCTTCCTAATACTGAAAATTCATGAGTAATACATCTTTCATCTTAACTCTTGAAAGCTGCTCAACTGACAGAGGAACCACAAATAGAAGTTTGAAAATGAAACAAGAATTTTCCTTGGAAACAAAACAAATTAATTATCTTCTCCTGTGGCAGGGCACTGGATTGTAACTCAAAAGATTTTTCCTGCACCCTGAGCTATCTGCAGTAATCCATGTTTTTGAAGAAAAGCATCCCTTAGCTCTGATATATAAATATATATGTGGTACAGCATCTTGCTGGGAGCATGAACAGAACAGATTATCATACATCATACATCACATTATATTCCTGACTAATAAACCTAGAGACTGTGATCCTTACAAACCTGCACCTTCAGTGTATAAATCTTATCATATTAGCAGCATCTTGAAGTTTTCTGAGAATCATCCTTTTATAACAATGTAACAAATATATATAGAGATTTCGTTATATAAGAAAATATCCACATATGCTACCCTCTCTGTAAGTAGGAAGGAGCTCACACAAACTACTTAGTTTTCTCCCATTTGAAAAGTGTGTTCAACAGTTATTTTATCTGGAATTGTTATCTAGTTATCTTAAGAACTTCAGACATGTAGGCCTTAGTACCTAACACTAGAAACAGAAGACATTGCATTTCCAGACTGGTGCTGTAATTGAGATAACCATCCAAGGACTGACAAGCACATTTAAAACCCATGGAAGTGCAACTCAGATGATATTTAGCTGATGTCAATGAGCTCTTCAAGGGCAACTCTCCCACAACCATGGTAACACAAAGTAAGCTTTTAACCTCTGCAGGACCAACAGCTGAAGTCAACATTGTGCCAGTCAGGCAACTTTCACAGATGGATATCACTGCAAATGGAAGGGAAAGTGGCTTTGGCTTTTTTTTTTTATTTTAATTGTTTTGTGGTTTGCATTGTCCATACAGAAATGCTTTGATTTTCTAGCAAGCAATGACAAATTGGGGTGTTTGAGGCATAGCCAACAAATTCCATGAGTTACTGCAGAGGCCTCATTCACTACACTAGTGATCCAAGTATCACCTTTTAAAACATGTTTAGCTCAGGCAGCCCAAATGAAGCATTTTACTGATGATATTGAGTGAGGTGTTGTCTACACTGGGTGTCATCAGGACATTCCCTGGCCTGGCTGTGCCCTAACATGCCTTCTTGCCCTGCAGCGCAGCAATGCTGCCTTGCACAGCCCTACTGCAGACCCACACTGGGGAAGTGTGGCTTAACACAGCCTGGCACAGCTGCCTAACACCATTCTGTAACAGCCTGCTCCCTCACTGCCCAAAACGAAAGGTGTTACACCAAACCTTGCAATGCTTGCCATGTCAGACTCAGGCACGTATCACAAACAAACTGTACTGTTCTGCAAGGCAGAAACAATGCAAAACCTCCCTCAATACCTGTTTCCTGGAACCATGCTCCTGGAAGTATTTGGTGCTATTCTTTCCCAATGGCTGAGCACGCTGTGTGACAAACGAGCAAGAGCAAACTAGATGGATATAAGGTACACCGATTTGGCTTGTATGCTCTCAGAGAAAGGGAGGTTTGGCAGGGATTTAGCTTACATATTTGCCAAGTATCTCAGATAAGGCTGCCACAGTTAGTTTTCACCAGCCAAGCAAATGATGGTGAATGATGTCGGGAGGAGCTCTAATCAAACAGCCCTGGTAAGGCAGAGCCTTTGGACATTCAGGTGGAGTCTGTCTGCAAGGAAACATCTGACCCAGAGGTCACTGCCACTTCATTCCCACCTTCTCCCCCCAGCCCTGTTGACAAATTCATTGCTGGAAAGAGATGGGTGCACAAAACAGACCTTCTGTCACAGCCTGGAATGACATCCTGAGGCAGTGAGATGATGTTGAATATTATTGTGGATGGCAGCTGCAGCCATGCTTCAGTTTTCCAGGGGATTTTGTTTCCTGCTGTCTTGCTAGGGCACAGTTCACAAACTCCACTTTCCATTGCAGTCTTGGACACCCTTGGGCTTGAGAAGAGTAAGGCTTCCAGAGGATGGGGGCGAAGGTAGGAAACAACAACAAAATACTAAACTTGGACAAAGTACACATAAGCCAAATGAGGGAAGAGTTTCTTCCTGCGTCTGGTTTTGTTCTACTTCCAAGTCAACAACTCTGAAGAAAGAAGAAAAACAGTGTCATTTGTTACTTATCACATCAGACAAACTTAACGTGATACTCTAAAGCTTTTATTCAGCTGCCTGTGGCTACTGCCAACATAGTAAATTACCCTCCCCAGAGATTTCCACTTGAATAATGCTCACCCAGTTAAGAATGATGAGAAACTCAAGGCTGAATAATCTTGATTCAGCTCAGGAAGGAGGATGCAGAGGGAACCCTCTTCCTAGAATCAAGCAGAACTGACAGTGAGAGGAACTGGACTGCACAGGTCAACCCAGGCAGCTTTCTACCAAGAAACAGCAGTGACTATCTTGCTAAGGACCTCAGTTTTCTGAAGCTCACAACCCACACTCTGCAATCATCTCTCTGATGAAACACACTAAAGAACCTGATCCTTCAACCAGCTCTTTTATTTACATGGTGCTCCACCAGGTCCCAGAAAGCTCATGAAAAATTAAAACAGCGAACATAAAATATGAATGGAATAATCAGGAATGATCGCTGGCCCATAAAAGCTCTGCAGTTCTTGAAAGGTGTTTTAGACATAACGAATGCCGGGATTTCAGAAATGAGGTTTCTGCCTCATTGTCCAAAGAAGATGCAACAATTTTCAAGCTTCTGTAGAAAAACAGGAATTTCTAAGGATGTGCCTGGGAACACCAGGAAGAGCACGTTGCTCCCCAGCAGAGAACAGCAGTCCACTGCCCTTTAGTAAGCAAGCTAAACAGAGCCAAACACTTGGATATTGTGAAAACATAGATATCTGACTTGATGCTGTATTGTCAAAGTGTAGAACTGAATGAAAATTTAGACCAGAACTACAAGGCTCATCTCGCAATCACGTAACGATAAACAACTCTCTCCTTAAATTCTGTACAGTAGATGTGATATTTACCTTATGGCAACTCTTGATGACCCTTGTACAGGTATTTTTAGCTGACCTTTCTGAACTTCCAACTTCTGTGGCCTAAAAGCTAAGTATGTTCTCAGTTTTCAGAAACTACCTGACAGATGAGATCAAACAGTTGAGAGTTAGCCCTAATACTCTTAAAATTAGGTTTATAAATAAGGACCCTCTGAATTAGTCTTTCCTAGCCTGTCAAAGGAATTACTACCAGAGTAATTAAAGTTATTGCAGAATGAACATAGCATCACTTGAAGAAACTTGATGTTTTTTTCACTGAGATCTTTCCACCACCTTGTTAGGCTGTGTACTACAATTTTCTCTTATATGGTAAAAATGAAAAGCCATTGACCAAGCTCATGTGAGGTTACACTGGTTCAGCTCCTGGTACTTCCCACCCTCCTGCCCTTGCCTTTGCCCTGGTGCAGCACCTCCTCTGCAGAGCTCCCAGGGGTGCTCACCAGCATCTCCTGCCTCAGCTGCAGCACTGGACACGCTTAGCAAATAGATGGGGAAAGGACCAGCTGCTCCCTCTGGAGCCAGCTCTGTGGTGATGACCTGGACCTTACCCCCATTAGGGGCATTCAGGAGCAAACAGGCTTTTATTTGGTTGTTTTTCTTGCGTGGTTCATGCTTGCTGGAATCTGCCTCCCATACTCTTTGTTTAACAAGGCTGGCAGCTGTAAGGAGCTTCACAAACCCACCACCTTCCTCATTTTGTTTTGTGTATCTCCCTGGCCTTTTATCACAGAAGGATGAGCAAGGAGAAATTATTAGTTTGGGAGACCCCTTTCTTCTAAAATTATTGGAAAAGGATTTGTTACATAACAACACTTCTTTTAAGTTGTCAACCTGAGAACGTTCTTATCAGCATGGCCTTGAAAAGATATTGTATAATGGCTCTCTCCCTGTCTTCCTTCTCTTGCAGGAAGAAAACAGACTATTGAGAAAAATTCTAATTCTAAAGATGAACAGAATTTCACATAATTAAAACCAGTTTCAAGTAAATGGATAAAAATCTATTTACTTGAAACTTGAAATTGCCTTATATGGATTAAAAGAATTTAGAGTGACAGCCTCACATCCACACAGGAATGAGGCTCAAGCACTACAATTCTCCACATTCATAGGACCCACATGCTCTGTCAACAGCTGTGTCTACACCAAATGATGTTCATCTCATGCACCAATTACGAGCTGTCAGAAAATATACATGTAATCCTTCATATCAAGACCTACTCATGAAATTTTTAAATACCTGACGGTAAGCTGCAGTAGTTATCCTAGGGATTTTATGTACTGGAAGAAGAAAAACTTATCTCATAGATTATCAACATCACAGGCTCCATAAACATAGCTCTTTTCCAGGAGATCATACGCAAAATAAACACCACTTTTATTAAACCCAGGACACTGGCTTTTACCAGAGCTAAATTTGTTATGCTTCTGTCTGTGAAGTAATTGATTTCTAAGCCTAGATCCACACTTTTGTGTTAATTATCTTTAGCTTAAAACACTGGAGCACCCCTCTGACCAAGGCAAACTGCACAACCCATTCCCAGCTACCAGCACCAAACCACACAGCAAAACCCACTGCAGAGGAAAACCCGAACTCTGTGAAATGCTATGAGGTCACCTGGAACAAACTTTTAGGGTCCCAACAGAAAGCCAGGGAGGAAATAAGATTGACAGCAAGGCACTGATTCAGTTTTGCTTTTCTGATACTTGGGGGTGCCTATGTGTAAGGAGAAGGAGAGTGAAGTAAAAGGGGAAAACTGTAGCAATGTAATGTAAATACAGTGCACTCCTGATGAGTAATAGTTTCAGCAGTACAGTATAAATACAGTGTACTCCTAATTAGTAGCAGACTGTTCAGTCTGTTACAAATAACTGTAACTAAAGGTTGAATACATTTCCTAGCATTTAATATAGCAGAAATTAGAAGAAGTAAGATATTTGCAAAGCAGGAATCAGCAAAGTGCAAGCATCCTCCACTGACACTGACTCTTTAATTTCCTGATCTAAACCTGGCAAGTTGCAAACATTTACTTGTTCATATTTTGTCTTTTGTAATAACAGATCTCTGATTTGCAAAATAGCCATACCTGGAACATGTGGTAAACAAAACACATTTTCCTTCAGCCCTTCCTGAAAAGACTAATATAAACCATGAGAAGTTAACTGCTCTCTAAAAAGGAAAGAGAAACGCAAATTGTCAGGGCGAGGCTTTGCACACACCTTGAGTTCACCAGGCTCCAACGCACGCTGAATGAAGCCATCACGCCAGTTCCTGGATCACCTTATTGGTCTCCTTGGCTTTCTTACACGTGTACAACCATTTGATTATCCGAGCGTTGCGCTCGATCACAGAGGTGCTGCTGGGGACCTGCTCCGTGAGCTCGTCCTCCAGCAGCCCCTCATCCCCGCTGTGCCTCGTGAACTCGCTCTCCGATGTTGCCACGCTGATGCTGCGGATCTTGAAGGAGACGTTGTCAGACACCACAGAGAAGTTCTCTCTCCCAAGATCCTCAATGACCTCCTGCTCCAGGCCACAGTACTTGAAAAATGTTTCAAACTCAGCGAAGGACTTGGAGTAGCGAGAGCTGATGTCTGACTGGGAGCGATGGAGACCTCTCCTCTTCACCTCCTTGACCTCTTCAGGAGGTGTACTCAGTTTTGAGGGTCTCTCATGCTCTTTTGTACATACCCCTGCCCCTTCAGTGCTCACGGGGATAGTCTGCACCGCTCCATGTTCGCTGGGCTCGTGGTCACCATCTTTTGCTGAGAGAGGCTCATTGCCCTCGGTGGCTGCGACGTCCTCCATGACCCTGGGCAACGCAGGGGAAGCCAACTGCTTCTCTTTTATGGACCCATGGAAGATCCTCCTCACCAAGTTCCCCCGGGAGCTGTCCTGGCTTTGACCTCTCCCGAGCTCACATTTCTGACGGTAGATCACCAGGGAATCCGGCCGCATCTGCCTCCTGGTGCTGCGCCTGGCGATGGGGGGCCCGTGCTGCAGGGGGGCTTGGCAGGAGCTCACCGCCGTGCCCAGCTCCAGGGGCTTCGCGCCCGTGCCTCTGCCCGTACCTCTGCCCGGCTCCCTGCTCGCTGCTCTGCTCTCCACGGAACAGGTCTCGCTGCTGCTCTCCGAGGCTGAGCTGAGCGCGATGACGGGATCCTGCCTGGTGCCGATGACCTGCTGGCTCTTTACGTACTTTGCCTTATCGGCGGCCAGTCTCTCCACGGCACTTTTCCTGCCCGGCTTGCCGGCCTCCAGCTGCCTGCGGAGGTACTCGGGCCCCTTGTTGAGGAGCCGCAGGGGGAGGGAGGAGTGCAGGTCGGAGATGGCGTGCATTCCCACGGCCCGGGAGAATTCAGCTGGCATAGCAATTCCAGGGACGCGGATCCTGCTTCCAGTCCCGAGAGGGAAGTGGGATAAGAAAATTAAAAAAAAAAAAAAAAACAAACCAAACTTTTAAAACAGGGCAAAAAGGAGAATCGCGTTGTAGGACAGCCCGGGCGCGCAAGCGGCGGCTCCGCGCTCCCAGGGCCGCGCTCCTCGCACCGTCGGGGCGCCGCGCGTCCCGCCCGCCCGCCGGCAGCACAGCCAATCCCGGCCGGCAGGAAGCGAGGGAGAGAGGGAGGGAAGGAGGCAGGAGCCGCCCTGAGGGGGCAGCGGCCCGGCCCCGGCACCTCCCGCTGCGCTGGGGCGGCCGGGGCTCCTGGGGCCCGGCGCTGCGGTGGGCGGGGGCAGCCTGCTCCGACGCCGGGGCGCTCGGAGGGTTTGCTCCCCTCCGAAACGTCCTGTCCCGGGCCGCCGCCTGGGAACGGGGCGCTGCCTGAGGGCCTGACCCGGCAGACCCCAGCGCATCCTGCCCTTCGGGGGGCACCGCCTTGCCCCGCTCCTTTCGCGGCCCTTACGCGGTGCGTTCCCCCCGCGGGTTTCCCTGCCCGGCCGTGCCGGGCGCTGCGCTCCAGCGGGAAACCTTGGAATGATCGGAAAAGGGCGGGACGGGCTGCCACAGCACGGCGGCAGAGCGGAGCCCGGGCACGCCGGGCGGGCAGAACAGATGTGCCCCCAGCTGTGCCCCCAGCTGTGCTGGCGGCATCCTGCCCTTCCCGGGGCAGCGGCAGGGACACGTTTGTCCCTGGGTCACTGCTGTGCTGTGACTGTGCACGTGTAAAGTATAAAGTGCAGTGGAATGGCATCAGTCTGAACTGCGTGTCGCAAATCTTTGCCCTTCAGAAACACAGGGCAGAATTCCCATCTGGGGCTGGCAGTTCTGAACAGGCAGGACAGAGCCATTGGCTGTAATGTAAACTCCCGAAAATTAGACTTGTAAGTCAACTAACTGGGGCAGTTCAACTTTAACATGTGATCTCATGTGAGATGTGCTGTAATGACTAAATTATAGATAACTTTTGTTCTCATACAGGAAACAAAAGCCAGTTTATATCTGCAGGTTTTTTCAAGCATAGTTTTTACTGGTTTGGTTTGGTTTGGTTTTAGTTTGTCTCTTCTGGGGGAATACTAGAATGCTTTAGTGGTGATTGGTTCATAAGTCATTTTTACAGTATGTAGTTTTTGAATTGTAGCTAACAAGATTAGAAAGGAAGAGATGAGCCTCCCTGTCCTTGTTGAAGTTTCAGGGTACACCACTTTGCTACTAGCAAGGTTCTCACTGTGTCAAGAGAAAGGATACAATCAACCCTGGAGTCTGAGTTTGGGCTAGCTCTTCAGTGAAGACCTTCTTCGAAACACACAAAACAAAAATATTCTCTTGCCAACATGGTTCTACTGTTGGTTTTCCCCTTACTTTTACATCATCTTTGTTTCTAGACACGTAGGTCTGAACTCCAGAAGCCCTATAATACAAACAACTGCCTGTTGACAGCAAGAATCCCGGATATGATCCTTGCCTGAATCATGACTGAAATTTGTAACATACCTTGAGATCACGTAGGGTGAAATTGTTGATATGTAGAATGGGTGCAGTTCTTTGAGAAATAATTTTTTTTTTCTTTTACAGCTGTACCAGTAGAGCTGGTTCACATAACAATTTACCTAAAATCAATATTCTTGAAAACTGAGAGACAATAATAAAAGTTTAGGCACAGTTAATTACTAGTGAACTCCTTCCTGTTAAAGTGGTTCATACACACATGTGTAAGAGTGTAGTTCATATCATTACATATTGAAATGCTTCCTGGGATGCTGGGCATATAGACAAGGCTGATGTTTTCTGACAATTAATCTGAGCAATTAGCTGATAGACATAATGAATTTAGTAATGAGATACTAAGGTTTCATTCCCATATTGACAAATCTGCCTTAATTTTTTCCTTCAACATTTTCCTTGGAGTTCTATGGCACTGAATAATGTAGTAACACATATTCACATTTCTCCATGCATTTTATTTTGTGTTTGTTCCAAATTCTAGTGTCTTGTAGAAGCTTTAAGAACGTGCAAAAAAAAAAAAAATTAGTTTACATTCATTTGAAATAATAGAAAAAATGAACACACACAAGTATCAATAAGAGGGGTCTTATTAAACAACTGCAATTAATTTCTTTATCAAAGCTTCATTCACTTCAAAAGTTCATTCACTCCCTGCAAAATTATATAGTTTTTCTCAGTGGACAATAGCTTTGTGTTTAGAGTTGATATACAAAAACAATTTTAAAACATTGGTTTTGATGGAAAAAAAGAGTTTAAAATATTTTTTAAAAATTGATATATTTTCCTTTCTCTTAAAATGCCTTTGGCTTTAAGTGCATGCCTGGAAGACTTTTAATAGAATATTTTCATTTTTCAGCCAGTTTCATCCTTGTCTCACTGACAAAAGTAGATGTGAGTTTTGATTTTCCATGAAGCGCATGTCACAAGAAATTTTTCATGAAAAATTGCAGAAGCAATTTCCAGCTGACTTTCCAGATATGTGAGATACTTTTCCCTGAGTATTCTGGGTGATGACAACAACATTTAAGGGGAAGAAGAGTCTTCCCAGGGTCAGAAAATATTGCAAGCAACAAAATTCTGTCTCCCTTTAGCAGTATAGCAGCTGCACAGTCAAGTGATAATTTAAATATATTTAGGTCACATATTCTAAAACTTAAATGCATTTTAGTTTAAAATATGATTTTCGGATTTGAAATGCTTATATTTTTATTTCTTGGAATTAGCTCTTATACTTATGGATACACTCTTACAGTATTTAAAGAAGAGGGAGCAATTGCATTTCTTCCTTCTGGAAAGCAGAAAGAGAGTGTATTATGAGAGTCCCAAGCAAACCACCTTTGCCCCTGTCCCAGAACAGGCTTGCAGATAATAAAAAGGAAATAAAAATGGGTGCAGCAGCACCCATCCCTCAGCCTGTCAGCTGCCATCAGTCTCCCTCTGGCACCAACGCACTGGACAAAGGTAAGAGAGGCAAGTCCTGCACACACTGAGCCTGAGCTGACACAAAGAGTTTTCCCACAGAAGGAGAATTCTGCAAAACACCTTTGAGTCAGCTGGCATTTAAAGTTATCACGAAACACAAAGCAGTTGAATTTTATGTGGGGTAAGAAAAACCACTTCTCATTGAGTTTTTACTAATAAGGGATGTTTTCGGAGCACAGTTAGAGTCTGAGCCAGAGGAAAGCCAGAAACAGGACTGGTACAATGGCGTTGCAAACAAACAGTACAATGTGTGTCAAGCTTAGGTCATTGCTGTCACTGCTCCCACCCCATTGCCAGTGTCTGTGACACTCTGATTTATAGTGGTCAAAGGGCAAAAATGAAGTGGTGGCAGTGGGAGGTAAGGGCAAGGAGGAAAGAAGAAAAAGGGGAGCTCAAGTCCTAGCAGAAATAGGAAGCTCCCATTTTGGAGACTGCCAGAACAGTGGTGTCCCACCCAGGACTGAGGTTTCTGCGCCCAGCAGCTCTCAGTGCAGGTCTTGCAGCCCACATCAGGGGGTGATTCACTTCCACTGTGACACTGAGTGCTGCCACTGAGTGTCCTGTTTGCTGCACTGGGGGATGTAAAGCAGCCACAACACAGAAATGAACAGTTTCCAAACAACTGTCTCCAGTGGGGACATTTTAGGCCTTTCAACATGAAATCAGTGACTGTACTGATTCTCTCAGATTCACACAACAGAAGATATAGGCATGCCTGTACATCTTCAGGCAGAATTTTAAGACTCAGGGCTTGAGCACTGTATGGCAGAAGCAGACCCACATCACTTGTACGTCTTCATTTAGCCTCTCCCACCACTGCCAGATTGCTTAGCATCCTTTTCACCATTGTGATTTTGGGTTTTTTACTTCATTAGACAGCTTAGCATCTTAATCAGAAAACATCTTGCTCCTAAAATCCATCCAGCTTGCTCACAATCATCATTAGTGGGCTTAATTTTTTGGAAATTCACCCCAGGGGTACCACTTTCCAGGTTGAACAACCATCATGGATCTTAACAGGAGTGTGTAATTTACATCACAGGGATTCATGGCAACATATGGGGAGCCTTATTAGAGCAAAGAGCAGAAGAAAAGTGATGGAATATCACAGTGAAAGCAAGAGATGAAAGAGAGAACAAATGCAACATGCATTGCACCAGGCAGTTACAATGGGGAACGTGCTAGCCATAGCAAGACTCTTTCCTTTTTTTATGCTTTCTTGTCCCTGCAGTACATCTGAGCCTACACTAATTCCTTTTTTTCATACACTTCTCACGTGCCTAGAATGTAAAAATAAAAATCCAACCCAGGTTTGGTGCCTAAGATATTTAAGGATGTGTTAAAATATTGAGATTGAATATTTTGATATGAAAGGGCTGATATGTTTATCATGCTGTCTGATCAATTTCACTGAGTAATTTGGAAAGGAGGGGAAGAGCCAGAGTTTTCACAGTAAAATACAGCTATGATGCTGTAAAGGAAATAAGTAACTGAACTCCCAGAACAACTCTGTTTGATCCTGAAAGGGATTCCTTGAATTTTGAATTGAGATGCTTCATGAATGAATGTGTGCTACATGTGTTAATATAAACTTTGCACTCAGAAAAAGGTTCTTACTGCTGCTTCTGTGGTGTACAAGTTAGATAAATGTTCTCACAGTGTTCCCCATAGACCTAGTCATAGCTTGCAGTTGTAAAGCTGCCTCTCGGTACTTGAAACACCCTTTACCAACCAACCAAACTCAAACACAGTCACTTCACCCAACACAGGGATGGGTCAGGGCACTTCTTAAATACTTTATGAATTTTATAGGCAACATTGCTGCAAACATCAGCATTTTTATCCACACAGTTTTCCTCTGTAAAGGTCCTGCTAGCCTAGTCTCATGTATAGTTAGCTTTGATCATAGAAAAGCCCTTTCATGTCATCTAAAGCTAAAACCTATAAAGGTTTAAAGCCATGCCTGATGTCTTAGGGAACTCCCAGCATTTGTGTGTCACCTCTTTGCTGTCTGCTTGCCTGGCAGA